TTAGTTATTGTAAGCATAATCTGGCAATTTTGTGAATAAACAAAACTTGAGCGAATCTGAAAATATTTTTTTTTCAATGTGATTGATCTATAAATATATGGACTTATTAATATTTTTGATATAGATTAAATTGATACATATTTTTAAAACATGCAAAAATAATATAATGTGCTCTTGATCAACAAATGATTTTTTTAATCTCACCATTACGGGTTGGGTGGGATCCCAAAAGTATCCATGAGAGTAATTATATTATGGTTTTTGTTAATGGATGCACATCTTTAAACATTTTTCATATTATTAGTAAATGTTACAAGGCTTTTGTATGCAAAATATCAGATTTTTTGATTAAGCTTAAGATTTCTTAAGTAATGTTTTTAATCGTGCTTTTTTTTCTTTTCAAATGTTGAATATCCAATATGCAAAATAATTTTAAGACTAAAAATACTCTTATGCATCATAACATTTTCAAATTTTACATCATGCGAAATCTTTATAATCTCTAGATAATTATCAAATGTTTTTTTAGGAAAAAAACTATTTTATCTCATATTTTCACTACTGTATATCTGAACGGGTTGGATCGATTTGACTGACCTCGTAACCACAATAAAAAAATAGGAAATAAATATAAATTATGCTTTTTTCGTTCTAGAATGACTACTTATTATAATCGAAAATATAAATGTTTAATCTAAATAGCTTAAATTTCTTAACATTATACATTATTATATATTTATTATTTTATTATATTGACCTTTCAGCTGGGCCTGGCTAACATTACATCACTAAAGTCTTACCTTATCGTTTGAATTCTGCCATGAAAAGAAAGGGTTCTGACGCAAATACTTTGCAGAGTACCACATGGGGGACATTCTGAGCTTTTGATTGGTTATTCACATGTTATAGACAGAAGTAGGTGTATGTAAGCAAGTGTTTCTAAAAATGGAAAGAGGTGGGCAGGGCCACTGTGTTTGATTCAGTACATGAGTGATATCTCAGCAAATAGAAAAGATAGGAGGTTCATATCTTAGATTCTAGCTTGTCCAATATCGTTAATTTGAGTTCCTAGTTCATAAGAAACTTTAGACTTTGTATTTGGATATCACAAACATCTAATTTGAACCAATTCTGCATTCAACATACCATATCACACAAAAATTAATATTTAGGATTTCTTTTTTAATATTTATTTTTAAATTAAGAAATTAACTAATGGATCATACTAAAAGTTGAATTATAATCTACAATTTGATACCAGACTTATTGACATACATTCATAAAATAGTAGGTCAATAAAAAATGAGAGTCAACAAATGTGATATGACATGGCCTTTGATCTGTGACCAATAGCGATAGGGTTAACGTGCAGTTATTTTATAGATATCAGAAATATGAGTTTACTACTATGTATGGTTAGCAACTGAAAATTTTGTACATTTTTATGCATGTACGCACAGCAAGAAATATTGCTGTAATGAATATTTGACATATGGAAAGCATACGTGCTAAAGAATTTTCCATTTTATAACAGTAAACATATTCCATCTGTTTATTAAAAGTTGAAACATAATAATCACAAATGTTAAAATCTATATATTGTTTATGCTGTGATATTATTTTTGCAATTTATATTTAAAAGTGTGATTGGTATACATTATCACAAATAAATGGATTTACTGCATTTATTGTGTATTTTCTGATAAAGTATTGTTAAACTAATAATTCAAGAATGGTTTGACCAATTATATTGAAACATTTTTCGATGATATTTAAGCAAAGTGTGACTCATAACAGACACCATGACTTGTCTATATTAAACAATGTGTAAATAATGTTTTGCAATTTCAAATATGTGTAGTAGTTCAATGATGCATTACAATCAGAGGTCATGGACTAACATATTTAGTTAGGGATAGATTGGGGAAAAGTTAGGGAATTTCATTCTTCCCTAGTTGTGGAAACACTGAGGAAGGTACCATTACTGTTGAATAAACTCGAATCTAGCAATCGACTTTCAACCTGGGGGTCATAAGTGTCAATCCCCATCATTGAACATGATCGTCCTATATGGTTGTAGACTGGGTCAGCCACCAGGGTATAAAAGTTCTTAGCTTACAAAAATACTGGCCGAACCTAGACTAGATAGGATTAAGGTTCCAAAGGGAAACAAAAACTGTTAAATAAACTCGCGTGTTTAATGCATGTATTCTGAAATACAATGCTAAGTAAGAAATGCTCTTTTAACAGTTCAATATATGTGACAGTGAAAGGAGGTGCCATTCAACAGTGACTTGTAGTGATGTTTTTTGATTTTTTCCTGAATGTACTGGGTTCATTCGTACCTTTTTAGATTTTAGACACAAACACAAACTTAACAAACTGGCTTATTGTGCATCTATAGGTTTGATCCTTTATGTTTGCTATTAGCTGGCTCTTGAGAATGATGATTTGCAGCTGATGTAACTGTGCTGTTTCTTTTAGTTGGTATATATTTTCATGTTGAATTGTCCAATACCCAGCATTCTACATATTTTATTTTTCAAGTTTTCTGGTTGGCCCATTTTAAACTGGTAGATTGCACTTAAAGCTATTGGTAAACATGTCAATGAAATGGTCACCAGTTGATGGAAAGATGATTTTTTATTTCTAGGTCTTCAAGCCTCCCAACCCTTGGACAATGGGGATCATGAGTGTTTTAGCCGAGTTACACCAAGAACCAGAACTAAAGTTGACTCTGAAGTTTGAAATTGAAGTTCTTTGTAAGAATCTCAATTTGGATATAAATGTAAGTAATGAGTTTCTTACTATACTTGTTGGTCTTAAAATTCAGTCAGTTCATATAAAATTAGTAGTATCTTATTATAAATGGTAGTTCAAATAAGTCTAATGTTAAAATGTTTATTATTGTTAAACAGTACAAGGCAGTATAAACACTGGATTATTTCAATGATACTTGTGTTAAGTGACTTTTGAATTTTACCTTGTTTGTAATATTACCAAACCACTATAGCTTTTTAGTTGTATGATTTTGTGTATCCATAAATATATATCATATAAAATAGTTACGAGTTGATTGAACAAAATACATTTTGTATTACTGTTTTACTCACTGAACAGTTAAGCAAAAAAGTGTAACTCTTTGGATATACCACAGTTTTTATTGAGTATATCTAAATGTCCAGATTAATACAGAAATTATGTATGTTTGTGTATTGAAATAATTGAAAATTTTAATCTTTGTTTCATATGTATTTTGAATCACATACTTTAACCCTTCTATTATGTTTTGGGTCTGTTTGAGTTTTGTATAGTGATAATTTATATTAATTTCTGATATTTCATTTAAAAAGAGTAAAAGCTATGCAAAGAAAAATATTTTATCAATTTAGGGCTGTATCAATTTGTTTGATATTGCATCAGTTCAGTATGACCCAAAACAAAACATATGTACCTGAATTCTGATATAATGGGAGAATTAATGGTACAGAAATATATGTAATTAAAGAAACATGTAGGAAAGTCTTGAATATGAAAGTACTGATACCTAAAATACTGTATCGGATTGTGTGTAAAGTTAGAACATGGGTATAAATAAACTCAATCTGAATAAAGTATGAAAGTAGGGAGTCTCAGAGAATTATAGTTCTTGACTGTGGAAGTGTCAGTGTGTGAAGTTGCAGTTGCCAATATTTGTAAATCTTCCATAATCAAAATATTGTACACTAAACAACAAGTGAAAAATGTCTACAGTACTATTACATGCTGAGTTTGCACTGTTTATTTCAAGGCAGCCGTATCCCCTCTAATTGTAATCAACTATAAGAAGATCACCATGATCGTTAAGCATTCCTCTGCTATTTAGCAGCAACCAATGGGCAAATGTTAGCACCAAAAACAGGGTGTTTGGCTAATATGAGTCAGTGATATATCAAACGATAGCTCTCTTCATGCTCTTAATTTTCTTAGATGTTTGTTTTGTATCCAGAAGCATTTTATATTTGAAAACAGAGAAATAAAATTTTAAAACCATTAATAAATACTTATTAGTCATTGAATTTGAAAAAAACAGTCCTATAATAAACCATGTGGTCCATATTACATAATTAATAAACTGATATATGTTTGCCCAATTCCAACTGACAGCATGTCATAAAAAAAAAGATGAATTGGAAATGTAAGCAGGCAGTATATTGCTTTGACAACATTTTGTTTTATGTCATAATAGGTTCATATCTGTAAGTCATGAAACTTTTTGAATACAGATATTTTCTTTACTTTAATCAGTAAATATGCAAGTTCATAGTTGATTTTTTAACATTTGGTTGTTGACAGTTTTTTTTTATCAATATGATATAAATTCAAAGTGTCACATTTTAGGGTTACATTTTATCTTGCCTTGTCACAAGTTTCACACATTGTCTCACGTTACAAGGTAAAGCAATTTTATTTCCATTGTTTCATTTAGATGTTCACACATTGCAAAAGTTCAATTTACAGGAATGATTATTAATTGTTTTAAGTAACAATGAATAGAAGAAAATGGGGAAAATAACAGAACAAAATCAATTTTAAACAATTGAATTTTAACCTTTCTTGGGGAAAATAACCGATTTGTTATTGCTCCTTTATCTTTTTACCCATATCACTTTTTATTCAGTTGTTCATGATCATTTCCTTAAATATTTCTCCTGTTGTCTGAAGACAACTGGTTAATGAAATAAATAAACCATTCCCATGGTTATCTATGTAGTAATTTACCATATTTCTGATAATAGTAATTCTAAATTACTTTTTGTTAGCTGGTTTGCTCACTTTTGAGCTTTCCTCCTTTCCTAGGGCAAACATACAAGTTTCTAAATTCCAACAGATCTTCGTATCTTTACATTTCCAATTCTAGCTTGCACTATCTAAGTGTTGCAAGTGTACATCTGTTATCAGTTCTTCAGGAATTGGGCGTGGAGGCTTTTTATCAGAGTCTTCTGTTGTCCAAAGCATGTTCACTGTCATAATGATTTCACTATCCCAATCAAAGATGACCCTGGTGGGCACAAATTGATCTTACTATGTACAATTGATGTAGAAAAATGTCATGATAATGTGTTTACGAGTACTTACAAGCTTATTTCCTGGTTTCTCTGTGATACACTTCCTTTTGTGAGAATTCAGTATTAGTAAATTTTTAATAATTCTACTTTGTTAGAAGATTATATGAATACGTAAAGAATCTGTGCCAGTCAGTTTAACACAGATGTCCGGAAAAGGGTAAACTGGTTCAGACTGGTGTTGTTTACCTGTATATAGATGCCATGTCATTTTGTTTCTTATTGTCAAAAATAATGTTGCCAAGAAACAGTGTTAACCTACTTGTCTGTGTTGTGAAATATTCTTATCTCTTAATAGTTTTCCAACTTTAAATGAACTTCATTTCTGCCATTTCAAAATTAATTGTTGCTTTTTTACTGACAAAGACAAAGATCAAAGATTCTGTAAAGGTAAAAATAGTGTACGTGTGTGTGTAGTATTTTTTGCTTATTTAAAACCCTGTTAGCCCTTTCATACCCCACTTACATTATTCCAAATTCGTCATTAACCTTTTACCAATTGACCTAAGAAGGAAGTAATTTTTTTTATTACCTTCAGAAAAGATATTAACTGGATACTTTTTTCAGTCTTGAAATAATTTTTTTTTCGTTTTACATTGTATAGATGTTTCTTTATGGGTACATAGTACTCCAAATACTACAACACAATAATGAACCTTTCTAAATTTAGATTTTTTTTTTTTACATTGAAGGCATGAAATAATTCCTCATGAATGGTTTTCACTAGAAAACATAATCTGTAAATGTTTTATTTAATGTTGTATGATAAGTAATACAAAAATTATAACTTTCTAAACAACTAAAAAAAACTGACCAAAACTAATTTTTCAGGTTTCTTAACCCTTCTACATTGAAATATATGTAACAAAAGTTTTAAAAATAAAGCAAGTCTTACGTTACCCTCAAATTTTATAGTGCTTCCAGGGAACATTAGGCTGTAAAATGTTAAATCTTCAAACTATTCTTATGTTATTATTTATTTTATTATTGAATACATTTCTTGTATTCTTTATTTTACTGTGTGATTTTATTTTTCATAAACTTTGAATTTGTTTCATAGAAAGAGATTAGCTTGATTTCTGTCTTTGAGAAAGGTGAAGCTGTATTATAACCTAATAATTTAAACCAATTCATCCAAGTTGTTTAAATACTTATTCAATTAAAATTGTTACTTTGCGCCTGGTATGTATGATGGTGACTGATACCAGTTGGGTATTATCATAGGTTTATTTAACCTAAAATGGTTTAGAAGAAACACTCCATTTTTCTATAGTTATATCAGTTAAGGAGTAAACAGGGTGTGAGAAAATGTTTTATTTATATGTTAGTGTTCTGTATTTAAAAATGGAATTAGTAGAAACAGGTTTGTTTAGGTGTATGTGAACCATTGGTAACTCATGACTCTCTTGTAAAGTTTGGGAATGTTTCCTTGTCATTTCTCTGTCTAATGGAAACGGATCTGATGATTTGAATTTCCAAAAGCGAGAACTTTGCACGGAAGTATTATATTTTTGTTGTTGTTTTCAGTGTTTAAGATGTTGTCATTTTATTATCGGTGAATTTAATTGAATGTTAGTTATAACACATTTTATATCTGTCATGTGAAAGTGACATATTCTACATATTTTCTCTCAGGGGTCAAGACAAACAACTGATTTATATCAATACATTATTTTATGTCCACAAAAGGGTAAAGGTTTTGTTTCTAAATATTCTCTATAGTGATCTTTCTCAAACTGTGATACATGTACCTCTGGGGTACATGATGATCATTTAAAGGGTCACAAAATGAAAGGGCATAAAATAAAGTAAAAAATTAAAAGTGACTCCTCGCTCACTGTTCAAAAATAATTATTACTAAGATAAGATATAAGAAATACACAACTAGAATCTAGCTTTCATTGGAAGTAGTACTTAATAATCCATTTTTTTAATTCTTTATTTTTTGTAATGCAAGGGGAAAATAATTTTTTATTGTTCTAATTAAGTAATATGTGTAATGTTTTTATGCATCTGAATTATAGTTATCATTAGTGGTAGTAGTAAAAACTTCATAATACAGTGTTTGAAATCAGTGGTTTCTGGTTGTCTGAGATAGCTGAAATTATTGCCAGGCAATTCAAATGCACTACTATGTTGTCTGTAGGACAACCACAACATAGTGCAATCACATGGCAAATAGCCCATATTGAGTACTATAGAAATTAGAAGAAACATGTCAGTGCATATTTTTTCTGATTTTCATGGAGATGTGATCATCAAGACCACACACACACACTGTTTACCAGTAAGTGTTCATTATAATGTCTTGCAAACCTCTTGTGGCATTAAAGATACACAGATTAAACTAATATATAATTTATTTTACACATTATTATATTAAATCATCTTCCCTGCAACTGTACTTCACAAAGAACCAAGAGGCTTGTCCTCATTACCATATACATCTTTCAAAGAAAATTTGTTATTGTTGACAGAAACATTTTTGTCTTTAGCTTGTATTGTTTTGTTTAACTGTAGTTTTATGAATGGGTATTTTTGTTTAATGAAACTTTGATTACATCATTTGTTTACGTAGGATTTGAAGAAGGAAAAAATCAGCAATGTGTTTAAAGACCACCATAGACTTGCTCGCATTGAACCACAGCTATCACCTCTTCCAAAACGAAAGGAACAGATGTTAAACATATCAATTCCACAACCCAAGATCCAGTCTTCATCATTGGTTCCTGCAAGTACGGCTGCTCCACCTAAGATGGTACAGGAGGAGGTCTCTGCTGGAGTTCAAGCAGGAGTTGTAACTGTTCGAGGAAGCACCACCCCTACAGGAGGAAGCTCGGCAACTCCCATGGCCTCTGGATTCCCACAGCCACAGTTTGCATACCTTGATATTAATGTATTATCCATAACTGGTCTTTCCCAGCATATCCAGATTAATAACCAGGTAAAAATAGCTTGTTCATTGTGTTGTTTGAAAATGTTGAAGAATAATTTAACTTTTAACACTTTAATTTGGAAATGTACCACAGCACAGTCTGTATGATATATATAGAATTTAGGATGTTTTCTTTTACTATAGACTTGCAGTAGAGTTGATCTCAGTTCACCAATGTTGAAGAAACATGCTTAATTGATCAGGCTAATAAATATCATAAAAGCAATTAGTTTAATTATTCATTAGTTTAATCTTGCCATACAAATTTTAGTCATGGTTTCACAAGATGAGACATAGACATCAAATAAATGACTATGTAAACTAATAGTAATAAACAATTTCAAGTAATTAGTTTGTACTGGCATGATGGACTACATTTCATTCAGTTTTAGATCTAATGCTAAAATATGAATAAATAACTGTATATTCTGTGTGTATATAATGATTGAAACAATCTTATTGTTCATCGCAAGTAAAGAGGATTGAACGTTCGAGACTGTAGATTTGAGGTTCCATTGTTGACATCCCCTTACCTCATAAAATTAGGTGGATTATATTTGTCATTGGTAATTTGTTGATTTGAGGATGATCTCTACCATGTCTCAAAAGGGTTTTATGCTATGTTTAATCTAAATATAGAAAAATTATTAAACATATAAACAGATACCTTTAATTTAAATGACCTGAAACTAGAGAGTGATCCAAAATTTAGCTTCAATTGATTTAAAACAACAGGAGCCAAATACTAACGATACTTAGAACTTGCAGCAGAAACACTTCTGAATCGCTAGACACAGGCCCGATAAATAGTGAAAAGACTAACAATACTGTTTTTGTGAAAGTTTAATTATTATCAACAAATGTAAAATTTGGAACTTTTTACAGAACACATGCATGAGACAAGACATAATACAACTTTAAAGTGTATATACCGTACCATTAAAATAGGAGTAGGTACTTATTAATGGCCCATTTAACAAATAGTAAGAGGAAAACCAGTAAATCAAAGAGGTGTGTGCTATAGAATGGTTATTCTCCTTTAGTGCGTGTGTGTGTGTATTTCATTCCTAGAAAATTTCAAATTTGTGTGGTGATAATATTAACTAGACATGTTTCAAAGAGCAATAAAAATAAAATGTAAGTATAAATAGATGTATATTGTTACAAGTTTAAAGCTATTTAGGATAAACAAATGCAGTTTCTTGTTACAATTTGAAGTCTTTTTTGTGTGTGTGTGTGTGTGTGGTGGTGGTGGTGGTGGTTGTCAGTCAAATTGGCCAAACTTGTATGAACTAGTAATAGAGTTAGGGTAGAGAAAATAACAGATTAAATAAAGAGTTTTACTGAAAAAGTTTGAAATTTATTTAGGAGGCTTTTGAAATTACCCAAATGAAATTTGAAATTTTTCAGATGAAGAAAAGTATTTTTAATCTTAGCAATGAAAATTACTTTACACTTGGAGCAGTCAACACTTTGACTCCATATATTTATGGACACATTTTTAGTGAAAATACATCATTAAAAATTTCGATTCTTTTGTCTGTAAATGACTTAATAGTTACTGAAAGTTTGCAAAATTTTGTGAAGATACTCAAAAAATATTAGAAGTTATAATATGGAAACGAAAGGTGAATTTGGGGGTCAAATTTTAGTTTGAATCAATTGAGCCCATAGTGAGAAAGTTAATATCTGTCATGCATGATAGTTAGCAAAATGAATTTGTTTGAAACTCTGTGATAAACTTTTGTAACTTTTATTTTGAAGAACAGTACGTGAAATGTTTTATTACATTCAATCTTTCTTTTCTCAGCTTCCGTTATTACAAAGTCATCCCCATCTAAAACAAGTTGTAAAATCTGCTATTGAACATGCCGTCCAAGAATGGCTGGGACCAGTGGGAGAACGTTCCATCAGAATTGCTATTGGAACCTGTGAACAGATTGTTAAGAAGGTAAATAATTACTCTTAATATTTCATTTCATAGTCCTGATTAGAGATGGACTATTAGTTGAACTTTCTACTTGATTAATTGTTTGGCTCATTAATTACATATGAGACACTGACATTTGGAATAATTGGAAGCAGTAATTTGGATTAGTTGATCATTCTCATGAGTTGTGACATTAATCCATTAAACTTAACAACCTTGAATCAGTCAAAAATAAAGAAATCATAATGGCAATATTTCAGTTATGCGAATAGTTGAAATAATCAGAAATGCTTATTTCGATTAGTTGATTATTTTACATGATGTCACTAATCAATGCTCGTAGGTAACTGAATTAATTTTCCAGCTCTTGTCCAGATATGATACTTGTGTAAGTTCAGAACATTACTTAAATATTTTCCTCTCTCTCTCTTCTTTTTTTTTTTACTTAAATGTGCAACATGGCTGCACAAGGTTTTCTTGTGTTCTGACTCATTGAACCTCTCATACTATCAACATATTTTGATATTCTCATATAAAAACAATTTGCAAAATTTTCACCCATTATAAAATTGTCACTTTGTGCTCATCAGTAAAATATTTTAATGCAAAACTACTTGAACTTCCTTTTTTAAATAAAACACGTGCCATTTTGTTGAATACTTGTTTCTAGAGGTCAAACAGTGCAAAATGAGTATTTTTGCTTGTCAGTATAGTAGTTTCTAACTAATATCAGTTAAGTTTTTGCAGATTTAATACCTTAAAAGTCTAGAAAATTGACTAAAATGTATATTGTCATTCAGTCACATAGTTAAATGGCTTCATTCTTCATAAGTGGATTTTTGTGTATGCCCTTACTAATGTCTAACACACCTGTAACATAAACCAGTTGAATATGATTTTCAACATTACATTGACATGGAATATATGCATCAGTTGGTTGGTCTTTCTTGTGATATTGAACTACATTTTCAACATTACATTGACATAGAATGTATACATC